CTGGATGGCCCGTGCGGTCTCTTCCAACTCTATGATTCTATGATTCCTTTGAGGCTGAGATAGTGTGACTTGCCCAAAGTCTCCCAGTGGGTTTCATGGCTGAGCTGGGATTCAAGTCCTGGTCTTCAGAGTCCCATGCTCAAACCACTGCCTCTCTTTGTTCTCATTATTGTGCTGTGCCTTCTGTGCTTTATTATGGTTGTTGTTGTTGTTGTTATGTGCCTCCAAATCATTTCAAACTTATGGGCCCAGAGCACCCTCCATCCCTTCAAAGTGCCGGTTCGGGCACAGAAACCAACTAGTCCCTGGCTCAGTCTAAAAGCAGGCAGAACCCCTGTCAGTTTGCTTGGCTTAGCACCTCAGCAGCTCGCCCATCACTCATGCCACTGGTGCTGCTTGAGTCCTCCATTTCATCCCAGATCCCCAGCAATTGGAGACAAGATCTATTCAGGTGTCATATAACGGTGAGGGAATGTTTTAACTTTGTTCTGTTTTAATATTGTTGTACCCCGCCCCGATTGCCACGCAGAGGGGAGGGCTATAAATAAATTATTATTATTATTATTATTATTATTATTATTATTATTATTACTTCTATCTTAACCTCCTACACCTTATTTAATTAGCCGTTTCAGTGTGCTGTGTGTGTATGTGTGTTTATTGTGTGAGTGTGTTTATTTTTCCTTTTAATAAAATATACTGTTATTTGTAAATCCTGTCTCTGGAGTTCTGTGTGAATTTGGACTCCATAAAAGTTGGGATAGGTCCCCCAGGCTGAGTTACTCCAGCCATTAGACAGATCTATATTTGAGTTTGTGATGAATTATCTTGCTACCTTTCACCTTAGCACTGATTTTTTTAAGAAGGCAGTCCTGAGTTTTTTTTTGTTTGTTTGTTTGTTTTTTTTTGGGTTTTGTGTGTGTGTGTGTCTTTTTGTTTTTCCACCACAACCACCCAAATATATGTAAAAGGACCCACACTAAAAGCTTTAAAAGGTTAGTAGTGCAGTTTGGTTTGAAAATGTAGGTCACATGATGTTTAAATGAGAATAAACGTTTATTCTAGAACAGAATGGAATAAATATAACTTGTATCAAAGCTTGTCACTATAGTTTCTCTTGGTTACGTATAAACATCGTTTGTTTCTAATTCCCTTTTAATATTTCAGCCACACAGACTAGCAATATCCCTCAGGATATAACACAACAGCAACTCCCTTCCTTAGAGTTCTGTATGTGTCCCGAGTCCCTCCCGTCTGGACTCCAACTAACAAAATTTACAGTTCCCTCAGGAATTCCTAGAAATGCAGCTCTCTCTCTCTCTGGCTTAACTCTTTCCCAAATCCCAACGGGCTCTCTCCAACTGTCAGCTTGATTTTTTCCCCCAAGTGCTCCCAGCTTGAATTCTATTGGTTGGCCCTCAGCTGCCTCCTGATTGGCCAGCTGGACATTCTAATCACCACGGAGCTAAACACAATTCCCCTAGAATTATATATATTCCCCTAGAAATATAGATTAGTCCTGGAGGGTTATCTCCAGAAAGTCACATTGAGGGTAACATACACATCTAAAGAAGCAAACTGAGTCTACAAAAGTTTTTGCTACAAATTTCTTTCTCTCAGTCTCAGTAATGCAACAAGATTATGTTGTATACTGATACAGATTAACAGAGCTATGTATTTTAATATTTCTGATAACTTGTTACTTACACATGAGCCTTCTTGTGTTATGAAGTTCTCTATGTAGGACTGAAATGGGATGAAGAATAATTATTCCATATTTTAATATTCAAATGCTGACCAAACACTGATGTTGTTCTGATCACTAATGTACAACTGATATCTTAGTGCAATAAATAATAATAATAATAAATTTTATTTGTATACCACCCATTGGTGACCCAATTCGGGCGGTTCACAACATTAAAATAATACAGCATAAAACCAATGTATTTCACACACACCCTTAAAAAAACTATTAAACCAGATTTAATTAAAACCAATTTTCCAACAAGTTTAAAGTATGCAATAATAAAACAACAATAAGACCCCTGCAGCTTCCTTCAAGGGAAGGGTTATGAAGGATTTGCTGAAGGGGAGAAGGGCCGAGGCCGGGATATTTAGTCCAGAAAGGCCTGCCGGAAGAGATCCAT